TTTTGACTGTATATTTTTTCCACATGTAAGATTCAGTGAAGCCCCGTTCAACAGTCTTCCTACAAGACCTTGAAAAATTGTGTTTTTTTTTCCTAAAGTCCATGTCTAGCCATTATCTCATATATTAGACAAAATCCCTTGGAGAATTGAGTCATGTTTGGCATAATCTAGATATATTCTAATAACTAGCAAAAACTGAATTTTGAAAGAAGTATCTTCCCTTGTGTTGCAAATAATTAAATGAAAAGTATTCTGATAATCTTTATTTTGAAATGCCTGAACTTATTAAACAGATGAATTATAATTGCCTGTATTTTTCCTATAAAAGAACATTAGAAAAATATGCTGTTCCATATTTAAAGACCATATAAAATTTTTGTTTCCATGCAAAATTCATGAACAGAACCACAAAGCGCCTATTAGGCTGACATACTAAAACTGATAAAAAAATGGACCGTATTTTTCCATGTATAAGATGCTATTTTTTTCTTGCAAACACCCTGTTCAAAAATCAAGTGCATCTTATACAAGCGCAGCGTCTTATGCACGAAAAAATAATGGTAACCTCCGCAGCCCAAGGCATGCCTGTGTGGGTTCTTTACATGCTGCTGCCATGCCGCCTGGTGCAGGAGGATATTGCTGGCCCAAGATGCCGCCTGGAGGGGAGAAAGCCAGCCCGAGATGCCGCCTGATGCTGGAGGATCACACTGCCCCAAGGATGCCGCTGGTCCCACTGAAGCTGCCTTCTATGACCTATTTTTCACTGGCACAGCTCGGGCTAAAGCCGCAAGAGGTCCCTGGAAGCCGCCTCAGTACAGTGATTGATGGCCGAGGGGGTGGGCGGGACTAAGCCTGCAGAGCATCATCTGATTGGAGGTAGTCGCCTCCCTTGTGTGATGGCATGGCCACTTATTCTACTGCCACTAAAGATGTGGTTTGTTTAATATTTAAAATGTTGATTTCTGAATTTTTGTTTAGAAAATTGGAGGCCATCTTATACAAGGGTGCGTCTTATAGATGGAAAAATACGGTATGTTTGCAGCCCAGAAACAAATGTTACTCTAATGTAACCTCTTTGTAAAGAAGAGGATAGCATTCCTAAAATATTTCATCCCAGAGTTAGTTTTGTTTTCAGCATCAGCCACCATCATAGCTAATTAGAAATGATTTGTCCATGGGACCATGTTGACTGCAAGACTATAAAGAACTGCCATGCAGATCAGAATCAGATGTCAGGCAAGCCATTCTTGTTTCAATGGGTCTTTAGTAATCTTTACTATATTATCAGTTTGTGTGTATAATTTTATAAAACACTTAAAATAGGTTTAGGATGGTTTTTGTCCTCCAAGTTTTCTTATTTAGATGTTTAAATGCAGGATGTTCCACATAAAAAGATTATTTTTAGCCACTATAGTTATTTCTCTTATGAAGGAAAACCTCTGAAGAAAATTTTAACACCCTAGAATCTTAAGCTTAAATAGTACAACATTCTCCACATTATAAGGCCCCTTTGGGGGCATTTTACACCAAGTAGCTAGTGGACTAAGATCCCACCTGCATGCTGCTCGTGTACTGCTTCCTACTTTGACCCAACTTATCTTAATTTTTACGTTTTTAAATTCTTGTTTTTATAGTGTTGCAAGCCACTCAGAATCACTCAATAGCAAGATCGGTGACATACAAATTTAATAAATGAGCAGTAAAGGTTTTCTACACAGAATGTCTGCCAGTGCCACAGTTCAGAGGAACAGCCTGTTATTATGCAGAACGAAGCAGTTTGATATTTTAAGCCTTATCAACAGCAATATCAAGCATCATTTTTTCTAATGTGAATATCTCAAAATTTCAATACACTATGTGGTTGCCCAAACAATGTTAATTATTTGGAGTGAGTTCTAAATAGCAACAAAATAGTGCTATTAGCCAGAAATTGCAAATATGACCAATATTTAGGGTATACTTAAAAATACTTTATGTCCATTCTTTCATTCACAAATAGTAGCAACTTTATTCTACATTTATACTGCACACTAGATAGAATACATACAGGGAACTTATTCTATTTTAATTTCCTTAAAAGTAAAAAAATGCAGCCTACATTTCTCATATTTATCTACACTTTGGAAGTAAAAAAAACCTCAGATGATCACAAAAATGGATATTTTTACAGATTCAGAACGGAACATTCCATTAGATATGAAAACACTGTTTGAATTCTAATCACACCCTGAGGTATGCTAACAGGAACGATAGTCTCTTTCAATACCGCATCATCTAAGCTTCCTGATACCTTTATGTATCAACTTGAAAATCATAATCTGAGAAAAAAAAATCACAATTTCTAATATTTCTTTTCTAAAAGATGTTATTCGCTGCGATACAGATCCATTCATTAATTTGAGTTACTATTGCTTCTCGTTATAGCAAAGTAATATACACGTTACTTGGAGGTAAATTTCATAGAATGCATTTAGTCCTTGTTTCTTTGGAGAAAACATCCCTCACCACCATTTCAGTGGTTACACTCATCAGTTACCTGACATGGACAAGATATTGTTTTAAAAACACTTTTCATGCACAAATCTAAATAAATTGATTATTGTACTAGTCTTACCATAGCCAAGGAAATAAACATTTCCCTTTAATCCATTTTCATGCAGTTTCTGACTCAGTCCAACATATGAGCAGCTCTTGTTGCCTTCACCAATGGCAATAATAAAGGCAGAATGAAATATACAACAGAGTCTCTATTTTTCCTTTAAATATATGTGAAAAGATCACTTTCTGCTTTTAACATTGTTACAAAATCAAAATACTAGTTAATATATCCCTGATAAGTTGTCCAAATAGCAGCTTTTATTCTTAAGAGCAAAGGAGAATTTATAGAGCAAGATTTTTTTCCCAGGATTTTTACATCTCCAGTATAGACTGAGTACATCTGTCAGAACCCATTTCTTTTTTTGGGGGGGAGGGGGTCTAATTCATTTCTTTTCCTTTCTTTCTGTGGGTTCTGCCATTCTCCTGAGGGGAGGTGGGAAGGCTCTAGGGATGCCCTTTCTGCTTTGCTACAATATATTCTCTTTGCTGTTTCTACATGCTCGCTCTTTGAACTGTTTCTCCTTTGATGTCAACCTGGGGTGAGAAAGGAATGTGCCTCCAGCCATCTGGGTTATCTCTTGCTGTGGAAGAGAAAGGTGCGAAGACCCAATGGGCATCGGAACAGACTCTGTTATCAGCTCCGTTCCCACAGTAGACTTAACACATGGGAATTGACCCATTCAAATTCACCGGATGAACTGTTGGGGTGGGGTTTTTTGGAGATTCCTTTAACCTATTGATCTGAGCGGGAAACCCTCAGATCCTGCCTTCTATGCCTGCTATCAGCTTCTCCTAATAAAAGTTCCTTTTGGAATGAAACTGTCCCAAGAGTCCTGCTTTCTTGGGATGAAGTTTTGAAATAGAGGATATTTTCCATTGTGTGCTTATGATTATCATCCAGAAATGATATCAAAAAAATAGTTTAGTCCTAACATTCTTTTCCATGATCACCATTTTACTCACATCTGCAATTGTGCAAATCAGCATTTTAGTAGTTCTGATATTTCTTAAGGTGAGTGTCCTCATATCAACTGAAGTAACCATTGTATAGCTTATACCCAGTTCCTAGTTTTCTCTGGATTGTTTTAATAGCTTGGAAAAATTTATTAGCAATTGACTAATGTTACCTAAATGATTTCTAAAAACTCTTCAACAAATGTTATGTAAAATCCAAGCAGGTTGGAGCATGAAAGCCTTCCAGCAATTAGCCTTTTGGAAGCTCTCTATCTTTGGGTTTGGTTTTTTTGGGGGGGAGGGTATATATACCTGCCCATTTAACCATCCTATGTATGGCTTCTGGAGAATAAGATCATACTCAGGAGATTGTTTAGGATTTGGCCCGAATAGCTGTACCCTGCAAGATTACACTCTAAAGATCACACTGAAGGCTCCCACTGATATAATGATCTGGGCATCATTCCTGAGATTAGCTCCCACTCATTGTTCTTTGAGACACAAGTTTAAAAAAAAAATGCAAAGAATAGTTACTTTCTGAAACACTAGAACATACTGATTTACTTGATAAAACCTCAGTGCAGCCTGGCCAAGGAGCAAATGTTATGAAGTCTTTCCAAACAGAATATCACTTTTTTTCAATTAAAATATTAATATCAGGTACTCAACATATTAAGCAATGGTTTTCAACTGGATACACTTGGAATGTGACCCAAAGAATCAAACATAAGCAAAATAGCTTTTAACATTCTTCTGCAAATATATGGACCAAAAGAAAGTCTCTCTCACAGATTCTTCTCAAATTGCAATTGCACAAGTGAAACATTTGGTTCCTTTCTCTCAGAATTCTCTAGTATGAGGAATAAAATAGTTCTTAGTAAGAGGAGGTCATATACTTGTGATATGCCATATTTAGGTTTATAACCTGTAGCTCAGCGGTTCTCAACCTAGGGGTCGCGACCCCATTTGGGGTTGATCGACAATTTCACGGGGGTCGCCAAGCAAGGCTGTCTGCCATTTTTTCCCCTTTTCCGGCGGGTGCCTTACCTCCCTTGGGCTGGGCCAGCTGGTGGCCCAGCCGGTGGTCGGCCTGCTCCGTCTCTGCCGCTTGCCAGCTACGCTTTGGGCAGCGCAGGGGGTGGCACCACGCATGCGCAGTGCTCCCGGGCTGGGAAAGTCCTCAACTTACGACCAGTTTAGTCCTCGACTTATGACCGGTTGGGGGGTTGCGGCATTAAAACAGTTGAGAACCACTGCTGTAGCTGATGTTTAAAAGTATTGATGCAATGCAGTCATTTCATTTAACAGAGACTTGCACCATACATTCCTAGGTACGTCTACTTGGTATTAAGCATAATTGATTATCTTGTTAATATAAGAAATGGACCACAGCTTCACAATGACTCCAACTTGAGTCAGGGTATAAGGAAAAGTGCAAACTATTCCAATTTTTCAGGTACTTAAAATGTATTATCACACACTTGTAACATATATGATCTTTGTAACAAAAGCTTTCTACAGCAATTGCATATTTTCATCAAAACTTAAATCCTCAATAGCCTCAGGTGTTATATGGAAATTACATCGATAACAGTAACAAATCAAGCATGCTACTGACAATATTACATGTGAACAAATACAAGCATACATATAATACATACTTCAAACATTTTTTAGAAAGTTTAAGTGAAGACATTATATCATTTATATCCAAATTGTCTTCTTTACAATTCACCATGAAACTTAAGGAGAGGGAGAAAAAGCTAAGGATTTCAATTCATGTTAGACAAATTCTTGAAGCAATAAGCAAAATCCAAAACAGAAAGAAAAAGATGGACAATGACTTTTCCAGTCCCTCCTAACAGAAGTTTCTGAAAAGCGATGGAGGTCATACTACCCAGACGGAAGTTTCAATGTTGTTGAAGGGCCGCACTCACAAACCAAAATAAGGAACACTTTGCCACTATATTTAAGCAAAATCCACCCATATACAAGGGTATTTCATTTCAGCTGAAAAGCACACTGTATGCGATTTCTGAAATGTATTCTATATTCTTTCCAATGTATTACCTTCACTTTGTTTTTAAGCTTTCATAAATATGTATGTAAAAATGGAAGAGACAAGCATCAAATTATTTTTTACAAAGGCTGTGTCAATAAAATTTTAATGATGATTCCAATATGGGATAGGCAAAAATAGAACCATGACTCAAGCAGAATGATGCATGTTCAACATGTGAGACTGCAGTTCAAGTCTTCTACTTTAGGGGAAATGAAATGTATTGCATTACATCTTGACAAGCAGCACATTGTATTAAGGACGTGAATCATTACTACAATGGCTTTTGTTTTCCCTTGACAATTTTACCACTCAGGGTCCCAGGACGGAGTACTATATCAGTATTTTTCTTAAAAAAAAAAAAATCATCAAAATTTCAAACATTACTTCTTCATCAAAGAAAGCAGAAAGAAAAGAGCACTGCCTTCCGTCCACACAGAAAGACATGCAAACATTTCATGGTTTGCTACTGCTATGTAATGTACTCTGATTTCTTCAGACATGTATAATAATTGTAGCTGATTTTTCTAAGATAAGAGAAAAGATAAAACTCCTAGAAGAAAGCAATACAAAACATAAAAACTGCAAACAGAAGCAATGGCTTTAGCAGTGCTTGGGCTATGTAATAAAGAGTCAGGATTATGGCACATCAATGGAGGTTTGGTCTTATTAAAATCGTTTTCTCTTGATGATTTCAGGTTTCCAGCTAACAGGATGAGTTTCTTCAGTCTGGAGAGAATAAAGAAGAAGAAAAAGAGTTCTAACCCAATTCTAACTTTGCATATGCTACAGTTACATATTTCCTAAGACTGGCTCTAGGGAATTCCTGAATACAATCCCAAATGATATGCTAATTGAGGCTACTTTGTTATTTCTTACTTATAACAGTTAGTTGTACTAACTTCCCAATTAATCCCTAACTGAGGAGGAACTCAATGCCATATCTTCTCTATCAATATTCCCCATTTCTTTTTTAATTTTAACAGCTATAGAAAGTCACCAGTGGTGTGGAAACACAAAAAAAGTACAAATGGATTTATTTCCTGTTTCATTTCAGGTTATCCACGATTAACAGTCTGGGGAAGAATTTAAATAGTCCCACTGAAATATTTCACCTAAACCACAGCATCAACTAAGAAACAGAAGAATTAAAATTGTTTTTGAAAGCGAGTACTCTATTTTACTATTTTCATTAATCAGATATTTTGCTAAACAGTCTAAGAGCGATTTCTTGTCATTTGTGAACTACCAGAATTCAACCAGTTGGTTTGTTTTGATATATCTTCCTTTATACATCACTATATACTGCTATACTAAATGCGAAAGCAAGGTTGAAATCTCATAAATTTATTTGGAAATAAATTCCACAAAACTAAGTTGAACTTTCTTATGAGTGGATATATGTAAAATTGTTCTATAAAATGTAGTTCACTACTTTTAAAATACAACCATAAATACATATATTAGCCAAACTGAATAAATATCTGACCACCTATAGTGTTCTCACAATTACTCTATTAAAATTGAAAAACAGCTTCTACTGGACAGGCAACTGAACTCAACTTATAAACCCCATTTTTAAAAAATAATGTTTCCACTTGTGTAAAATGTTGTTTGGGAACCTTATTTCATTATAGTTCAGCCTTAAATATGTTTTTGAGATTAATTTCAGAATACGTGTACTAAATGTATCTTTAACTTAGTTTTATGCTGTAAAATATTATTAAAAAACACCCCACATACCGCAGAATCATCTTCTTTGTAGACTTTTATAGTTTTATCAGCTTCAGCTGTAAGAAGTCTGCTTTCAGATTGGTCAAATGCACAAGCAAATATTCCAGATTCACTGTCCAAAGAGCCAGGCTGCACAGCTGCATGCACCCTCTGGAAGTTGTACCCAGTTCTCCAATCCCAAAGGTGCATTGTACCATTGTCAGCTGAAAATAAAACACTGGCATGTTTATTCAAAGTTACAATTCAAGTATATAGAACAGTTATTCTAAAGACTGACTATATCCACCATAATCCAGATCTGTTTGCACCCACACAATTCATATGTATTAGGATTAACAATGCATCTCTATGCCCCTCTGATCTCACTAGGATGAACTTCTAGAAAAATTTAAACATTACAAGTGTTCTACTAAGATATGGTATTTTAGTTTCCTGCAATTTATACTGATACTATCTGCAGTTAATATATATTGCAGATAGCCTCCTAGTCATGCCCATTTTCAAGTAGTGGGTTATATACACAATGGGAATTATAGCCAAACATAACACTAGAGTATCTAGGAGGGCTGACTAGAAAGCCCAGAAAAAAAGAAACTTCCCAAAATTCTTCTGCTAAAATACTGGCATCATATAGAAATCTTTTATATCTGTGTTTCTTGTGTTAGGCTAAACTTGCTGTAACATTTATCCTGGCATACATATTTAAATGGGATTGAATTTGCTTTCACTGAAAGCTCTCCTAAGAACATGGCTGTACAACAGATATATATATATATATATATATATATATATATATATATATATATATACACACGTTTTCTGAGGTTTTCGCGGGTGTTTGTATGTGGGTCTTTGGTTGTTCGGGTTTTCTCCCGCGTAAAATAGGAAGTGTCTTGGCGACGTTTAGACGAAGTCCCATTCGTTATCTTCAGGCTGGTGTTTTCAGCTTCGTGCTTCGAGCAGCAATGAAAACACCAGCCTGAAGATGACGAATGGGACTTCGTCGAAACGCCAAGACACTTCCTATTTTAGGCGGGAGAAAACCCGAACAACCAAAGATATATATATATATATATATATATATATATATATATATATATATATACACACACAAAAATTAAAACAACTTAGTTTTCGCTGAGAATGTGAAGTAAATATATTCACATTTGCCTTTGTGAAGGAAAATCTTACAGGAGATAAGATGCTGAAACTTGGGCAAGGACATTTCAAATAAGAAGTAAGTAATTTGTGGATTCTCAGTGTCACTGCATGGTTACTGGTTAGATACGATGGATATTAACATCCTGTGCATAGTGACAGGTTACCGTTCCAAAAATTAAGAGCCAAAATAAATTGAAAACCCATATTAAATCCTTCCAACACTGATGTCTGCATATGTTCATGGTAATTGTTAAGTCTGGCAGTAAGTTCTAAATAATCAGAGCTTTAGAATAGCTGTATCATGAGTCTTACAGTGCATAATAGCAAAATAGAATTTGTTTTGAAATCATACATAAATTTTAATTTACCTCCAGAAACCAGGACTCCATCTGAGTTCACAGCCAACGTATTGATAATTGCACTATGGCCAGAAAGGTTTTGGATGAAATTTCCATCAGGGAATTTCCACTGTTTTATGTTATCTGGAGACCCAGATGCAAATGTGTATCTGTAAGAAAATATATATTAAGATCTTAGTAACTATTGGATGCCTAATTAATCAGTATTTAATTATTGGTTGTTAAAGTTACCAGGGTTTATTACATTGAAACTGTAATAAACTCTAGTAAACTTTAACAACCAATAATTAAAGTTTACAGTTTACAGAAAATTACAATTTCAACGTTTAACTATTTCCTCTGAATTATTTTTGGTGACAAAGAAACTTGGCTTTCCATATGTTTTTGAATTACAACTTCCAGTGATCTCAGTCCACGTTATTAATAGTAAAACTATACGGAACTTGACGTTCAGCAGCAACTAGAAAGCCTAAGCTCTTCAGCCAGTAATTTAAGCACCATAGACTTGCTTGTTTGAAAACGAAGTAACTGATTAATGAGGGGTAGGATGTCTGTTACGGCCAAATATTGTTAAATATGAACGGGAAATTATACATACATAAAACAGGAAGGAAAATTGATACACGTTTAGTTTATTCAGTATAAAATGGGCTTGTATAATACCCAGAAAGGTATGAGATTTTGTCCACGGTAGGTTTCCCCTGTCCAGTCATGTCTTACTCTAGGGCAGTGGTTCTCAACCTGTGGATTGGGACCCCATTTGGGGTCGAACGACCATTTCACGGGGGTCGCCAAACAAGGCTGTCCGCCATTTTTCCCCCTCTTTTCTTTAGCCATGCCCCTGGCACCTGGTGATATATAAGTGGTTGGGGGTCACCACAACATGGGGAACTGTATTATGGGGTCACAGCATTAGAAAGGTTGAGAACCACTGCTCTAGGGCACGGTGTTCACCTCCATTTCTTAGCCGACAGAGCCAGCACTGCCTGAAGCCATTTTCTGTGGTCACACGGAATGCTATTACCTTCCCACCGAAGCGGACCCTATTAATCTACTCACATTTGAACGGCTTTTGAACTGCTAGGTGGGCAGGAGCTGGGGCAGGAACGGGAGCTCACCCCATTTCACAGCACTCGGGTCTTGAACCTGGGCTGTCAGTTTTCCAACTGACAAGCTCAGTATCTTTTTTTTTTTAAAATAATTTTTTTATTTTTCCAAACTCTTCCCCATACACATACCGTAATATTTATCAGATGTTAACATACATTCTTTTTACATTCATATATAAGATACTTTTAATAAAATGAAATAAATACATACACATGACTTTTGGTGTTGCTCGCCCATTTCCCCTTTCACCGTATCCACACTCCTTCTTCTCTACCTTCTTTCTCCCTTTCTTCTCTTCCCTACTTCCCTCTTCTTACTCTCCTCTCCTTTACCACTCTCCTCCCTTTCTCCCCACTTCTCCTCTTCTCCTCCAACCTTCCTACTTCCTTCTCCCCTCCTTTACTCTTTTCTCTCTCCTCTCCTTTCTTCCCTCTCATCCCTCTTCAGATACAATTCAGGGGTAATGTCCGAAGCTCAGTATCTTTAACTACTGAGGCATCATGCCTCCTGCTACTTTACTCAATTAAAGATCATAAAATCAAAGATTTACTGAATGGGAATAATCCACCAAAGTAGACCACATTTTTCCTCACATAAACAGTTCTATTTGGTGAGTCGCATATTAGAAGGTATTTTCTGATAAACATTTTCCCCCCCAAATAAATAGCTCTATTTGGTGAGAATATTATTTATTTATTTATGAGACGTATATACCGCTTTAAGTGCAGGCACTCTCTAAGCGGTGTACACCAGTAAGCAATTCATATATATATATATATTTACATTGCCCCCAACAATCTGGGTCCTCATTTTACCTACCCCGGAAGGATGGAAGGCTGAGTCAACCTTGAGCCGGTGAGATTTGAACCGCTGACCTGCTGAACAGTCAGCTAAAGTGGCCTGCAGTACTGCACTCTAACTGCTGCGCCACCTCGGCTCATAAGGTATTTTCTAATAATTTTAGAAGTCGCAGTAAGTTGATGTGTTAAGTCTAAATGAAACAAATCATATTGTGGCTTAATTTGCAAATCCAACCACTCTCAGTCTCTTACTGAGATATAAAAGGGGAACAAAGACAGCAGAAGGCATACTGCCTTCATCTGTGTAAAGAAATGAACTATTTAAATCTAAGAATAAACACCAAACCTCACTGATTTTAGTGAAATAGAATCTAAGTAAGCCTGTACAAGATGGCAGCTTTAGTTTTATATAATCTTGTTGTGCTGTACATTGGACCAACTTAATAATAATAATAAAGTTGGAAGGGACCTTGGAGGTCATATAGTCCAACCCCCTGCTCAGGTAGGAAACCCTATACCATTTCAGACAAATGGCTGTCCAGTCTCTTCTTAAAAACTTCCAGTGCTGGAGCATTCACTGCTTCTAGAGGCAGGTTGTTCCACTGGTTAATTGTTCTAACTGTCAGGAAGTTTCTCCTTAGTTCTAGGTTGCATCTCTCTTTGGTTAGTTTCCATCCATTGCTTCTTGTCCTGCCTTCAGAGGTTTTGGAAAATAGCTTGACTCCCTCTTCTTTGGGGCAGCCCCTGAGATATTGGAACACTTTTGCACACAAACCCTCTGGCCTTGATGAAGGAAAAGTTCAAGCAATGATCAAAAGCTTACAAGGTCATGTGACATTGCAATAATACATTCTTCTAATAGTTACAACTACTAGAGCAAATTATTGCCTTAAATGGGCAGCACAGTATTGAATTCATGACTAGTAGTCTGACGTATCTGAACTAAAAATGGTATATTTACATTTTTAAAAGCCTGTTTTTTTTAAAAAAAAAACATGGAAAATCTTACTGTCTTGGATGCAAGACAACTGCTCTAACCGATTTCTTGTGATTTGTTAACGTGACCCGTGTTTTTCCTGCTACCAAGTCCCAGAGACGTATGGTGGTGTCATGACTTCCTGCAGTGAAGAAATGAATTTAAGAAGTAATATAGATATATACTTTGACCATATTTTGCTTTTACTGAACGTTTCTGTTTCCCCTGCACTTGAAAATCTTCCCACTGCTTTGAGTCTTACTAAGATAAGAAAGATGGTAGAGATACTGGTATTATTTCTGGCACCCCAATGAATGCTACAGCAATACAGAGATCATACAGGATGCACCCTCTCTGTTCTACCACAGGTCCAGGGAATGTCCCAGGAGCCACGACTGGAACCGCTGCAGAGACACGTATATATTCTAGTTCATTTGTGGCCAAAGCAGAAAAGAGATGATTTTAAGAAAGACCTTCTCCTCTTTTGCAAGACAGTTTTTCAAAACTTAACAAATTTATTTGCCTCTTGCAAAAGTGCTAGCTGCAATCCAATAACAACTCTGAAAAGCATTCAAGATTCTCATGCTCTCAATATATTTTTTTTTTAAATTCTGGGCATTTATACTTGTTTATACCCAGAGTTCTTAGCTATATGCAGAATTATTTAAAATGTTTGCATGGTTTGAAAGCTACAAATGCTTAACTAGAACGCAACAAATGGAAGGATTTTATTAAACCACAAGCAACTGTGTGCAAGTTGGCTATAGGATCGACTTACTGAATTATGTTCCACTTTAACAAGCAGCATTCATCATACCTGTGATAATCTGTGGCTCTGCTGCTTGGCACTTCACTGTTGCCACAGCATTCGTGTGTCCTGACAATGTATGCACACCAGCTTTTGTTCTTACATCCCAGATCTAATAAGATCATACATTTGAACAATTAAGTACAACAATAAACAATCTTTATTAAACAAACTTTCCATTTGTTTATAACTATGAGCACATCACTCCGGATCCTGTTGACCATAGTATCATTATGAACTCCCATATACGGTAAGAACAGTATTTGTATAGGAATAACGATAATAATAACAACAACAACAACTTTATTATGGTTATAGACCAGCAATAGACATCACTTTTTACAATATATTAAGAAAAAAATAAAAATAAAAATAGTACTGACATTAATAACATCCCTGTTAAGAAAATACATGTTCTCAAAATGTTAGGGTCACTCCCTAATTTACGTGAGCGGAAAGCCGATTAGTGTGTGAGTAAATATAATGTTCCAAAAATTATTAGAGATATCTCCCAAAAATTGGCACAAGTTGACGGCTATAAATCTGTAACCAATTTTTTTTCTTGTGGACATTGCAGCAACACAGTATTTTGCCACTGCATGCGTGATAGAAGGGTTTGAGTCCTGCAGGAGAAAGCCTACATAAAAATTGTCTGCCCTCCCTGGCAATCTCTCTAATAAGGGAGAATATATGCTGACCTATAAACTCGGTATAACTCACAGTACAATAAAACATGTGAGATGTCTTCGACTTCGCCTTTACCACATATACATACCTGTTCTGCTACTGGTGTTCTCTTATACCTGCCGTGGAGGAGTGCTGAGGGAAGAATGTTAAATCTGGCTCTGAAGAAAGCTATTCTTTGTTTTGGGAAGGTCAGATCATTCAGATATCTTGCCGATTCCCATACACCCTGTTTGATTTTATCCCTACTGTGGCGAGGCAACCTATTTAGTTCTTCTTGGAACTCCATGTCCTTCATTCTATTAAATATGACTTGCTTTGCTTGGTCAAAACCTAGGGACATTAAGAATACCGAAGAGAGCCCGTAAGAGCCCAATTTATGATCTATTGCCTGTTTCCAGGGGGAGGGGAAGTTGTCAGTCAGCACTAACGGGGACAGTCCCTCTGGAAAGAAATGCATTTTAAGCCAGTGAATGATCATCATCTTCCAGGCTCTTACCTGGATTTGGGGCATGCCTGTCTCAATTCTCAATTGGGCATTTGGGGTTCCTTTGGGTGTATTTGTGTAGGAAAATAACAGGAACACACAAGCACTTTCCGCCACTGGCATGGTTTGTTATGCTAAGGAGAAGAACTGAAACTGCTCAGCTTATTTTTGTAAGCCTTTGATGATAAAGCACAGATTACAACTGTTTGCAGCCCCAGGGATCTCTCTTATTTCTACTCCCAACCCTTAAAACAAAAGTATTAAACAGTACTCCCCAAATTTGATTATTTTGCAAAAGTATCTCAGTGCACTCAGTTGTGCACCCTGGGATGCTGGGGTGCAGCATCTTTATCTGATTGACTAGAATTAGTAAAATCTGAAGATTTTTAAAAGAGAGTATAAATAGCTAATGACAAAAAAAAATCATATTAGTTTCCACAGGGACAAACACGTTTTTTAAAATATACACATATATAAATATTTCTGCTTTACTTACACGGGCTGTTGAATCTCTGCTGCAAGTTACAAGCACATCTATTGTTGGATGCAAATCCAAACCATACACAGCACTAAGGTGGCCATGGTAGTGCCTAATAACCTGGACGTAAACATATTACAATCAGCACTGAATGTTCCATTATCATTACACTGCTGAAAGATTCCAACCTTCAAGTTCATTTAGTTACCTTATTATATTCAAGATCCCAGCATTTCACCTGTTTATCTTCCCCACATGAGAAAAGATAAGGACTTCTTCCACTGACTATTACACCTCGAACTGTACTAATATGTCCTGTTAAAGACAGTTTTAATTTGCCACTTGCAAGATCCCAAATCTGTAATGAGAAAAAATACATCTTTGATGTCTTTGAAATAACACACATAGACATCTGTTATTCTAACTGAGCAACATCTCGAAGTTCTTAGTAGAATGCAAAATATATTCACGATGGTAGAAAGACTGGAAAAATACTTTACTATACTAATCCCAGTTTGGGAATACTAACACACTTAAACAATTTGGCCTATAGGCAAAGATAAAGAATAATAAAATATACTGAAGTGGATATTACTAAAGCACTATTATGAAGTATATTACTGAAATAATATAAAAAGTACTGGACTACAATTAAGTCAACATCTCACCTTTATAGTCCTGTCAGCAGAGCCAGTAACAAACCACTGATTTCCTGGTTCAACTGCAATACATCTCACCCATCCCAAATGTCCACTGATAACCTAAAAAAGTTATAGAATAGTTTATCAGTTTAGATAAAATATCAACCCTGACAGCTTAAAGCAGTTACATAACAAAAAGTTTGTTTGGCCTCAAATTTATCAGTAACTATAATGTTGCCAATGTTCAATGAATAATGATTATGGGGTTCCAAAGGAAATTGCAAAACCTATATAGGATGCAGGTTGCCCAGTTCTGCACTAAATTAGGATAATCATTATGTACAAATAGCAACACCAATAAGACTTGTATATCGCTCTTTACAGCACTCACTGGGCAGTTTAAAATGTCAACGTACTGCCTCCAACAATCTGGGTCCTCATTTTACCAACCTCAGAAGGATGGAATGCCGAATCAATCTTGAGCTGCTCAGGGTCAAATTCCTGCAATGCTGCATTCTAACTACTGCACCACCAGGGCTCTTACACTGCGCCACCACAGCATATCCAGCCACGATCAGGAATTCTTAAGAGTTTGTAATTTCAAATTTTATTCAAAATAAGATTATTTTTCTTGCTGCCTTCTAGGGCTAATTCCTTTGCAACAGCTTTTGTCTCTATAATGCACAGAGCTATATTAAAATGGTCAGTACTATATTAGTTAAAACTTCAGAGTTTGGAGCTTTGTTTTTTCCCCCCCCAAGTTGCATCATTTTCATCTTTTTAAGTCCCCCCCCCCTTGATGGTATAAACAAAGATAAATTGTCTATACCTTTCTTCAATTTTAAAATGAACTTGTGAACTTGTGTTACTTTTTTTTGGACTGTATTTGAGAATAAATGAGTAAGTCAGTTACTGTGCACATGAGTATAATGAACTACTGTATTTTCCGGCGTATAAGATGACTCGGTGTATAAGACGACCCCCGATTTCGGAGCTGATTTGCATGCTTAGAAAGTTGTCTTATACGCTGGAAACTACCGTAATTTCCGGCGTATAAGACAATTCGGCATATAAGACGATCCCCGATTTGCATGCTTTAGAAAGTCGTCTTATACACCGGAAAATACGGTAGATGCTTCTAAGGGGCTCTACATACAATATGTTTCCATGAAGTTCTAAAGAATGGGGCCTTTAAAAAAATGGTTCCAGTCACTCTGACAGTTCTGCCAATAGTATTCCACACAAGACCAAGCTATTTGACCTAAAAATAGTTGGAATGAGTTTCTACATCAAGTTCTCTTTGCTATCTTCTCTGCTACTTTGAAGTGATTAGAAACATTACTTCAAATTTTAAGTCACAGAAATTGCTATTTAGTTACGATTTACTAGAACAAGACCGAACAAAAATATGACTTGACCTTGATTCAGTCAATAAACTTTAATCAGAATGCTGTTACTTTATTTATAGATGTTTCCAACCTGCCTAAAGCATATTGAAGTAGGAGTGATAGTACTGAATTCAAGGTCAGAATAGGCTTATTCTTCTAATAATCTCAGCATATAGTTTCGTATTCCCATTTAAAACTAGTCCAACGTTTAACAAACTATTTATCTGGCAATAAATAGTTCTAATATATTTACTACTTACTCTGTATAGCTTCCATGGTGGATGCCACTGTGGTTTTGGCATTGTTGGAGCCTTTTTGGCCATTAATGCAGAATTTTTATTCCCACCAGCTTCCATCAGAGCCTATAAATTGAACAAACATGACATCATATCTTTTTCTTCATTGAACTACTCTCGCAGGGGCCTATAATATAATTCTGTCACAAAAGTCTATGCTCTTTCTAGCTCATTAGGAGACTAGAATATAATCTGATTAATTAGATTAGATTAGATTAATTAGAGGGTCCCTATTACTGAAACTTACCATAGTCAAACCTGGAGGCTGTGAACGCTCAGGCATCCCAGCATGTCTATATATATCACCTACGCCAGCAGCAGTTCTACTTGATTCTATTCTGAAAAGAGAAAAAATGATGTGGACATATTACCTCCATAAAGAGTTCTGACTTTGTATATAACTGACAATACACCTACTCAAGAAAACCTTTGGAATATCATGTTAGTGCAGAACAAACAAATATGTTCAGACTACACTCCAGCTAAACTGGTAATAAGTAGCACCATTTCAAGCATGACTATTAGATTCCATAGTATTTCATGAGCCTAAGGTTTTACAAATTTTCACTATTATCTTGCATTATTGTTTACATCAGTACTTGTCATAATACCAAAGACACACGAAATAAATGCACATTCATTGAGGCAAGTATGTTGCTTTGTTGCTAATGGAAGAGTAAATGTCCAAAAGGATTGCTGGAGATAAGAATAAAAAAACGATAAGACCTGGAATAGGTCTTTCAAGAAATAGCAGGTCTTCTGGATATGTCTTCCTCCTAGAATAGCTAGATGGCTCCTTCTCTAATAATGGTATAGGTATATGAGATGGTAGGTCCTCCTGCTTGAGCAGAGGGCTGGATTAGAACAGGGCTTTTCAACCTTTTCACCCATTGTACCCCTTTTAGGATATGGCAACATCCGAGTACCACCAGTCGCCTAGCAAGGTGTCAAAAACTTGATGACAAAAAAAAGAAAAGAAAAAGTGATAAAGTACAGGTAGTCCTCGACTTACAACAATTCGCTTAGTGACTATTCGAAGTTACAATGGCACTGAAAAAAGTGCCCCCCAAGCCACAGCTGAGCAAGACACCTGCCGCCCGCCTGGTGGCGCTCTTTCTCCTGTCCGAGGTTTCCATTGTTGTGAGCATTTCTGTTGAGGATTGGCAGCAGGGGTGGAGTGGGGGGGGGTGTTTGGTTTTTATTCCCCCTCATCTGCTGGGTGGCTGCAGCAGGTTTTGGTCACTTCACATGACTCTGGGACACTGTGACCATCATAAATATGAATCAGTTGCCAAGCATCTGAATTAAATCAAAAGACCCTGGAGATGCTGCAACATTCCAGCTGATTGGCGCTTCTTCTGGGCTTAGCAGAAGCTCCAGGATCAGTGCCGAGTTCCAGCTGGAGCCTGGCGCTGATCCTGGCACTTCCGCTGAGCCCTGACAGCCCCTGGCGCTTCTGCTGAGCCCTGACAGCCCTGCAGCTCCAGCCATCTCTTGCTCAGGCTTGTGCAGTGCTGCCACCGGTTCAGCTCATTCCCCTCCCCCACTACCACTTTTCTAGGATGGCCGCATACCACCTGCCAGGTGCCAATGTACCACAGGTGGTACCTGTACCACTGGTTGAGAAGCCCTGGACTAGAAGACCTCCAAGGTCCCTTCCAGCTCTATTCTATTCTATTCTATTCTATTCTATTCTATTCTATTCTATTCTATTCTATTCTATTCTATTCTATTCTATTCTATTCTATTCTATTCTATTCTATACTGAAAGGTATTAAAACACTGTCCTTCTTTAAAGTCTTCAAGGAATAAATTTATATTGTACTGTGACTGAGTAACTGAAAATTTTGGATTTTTTAAACAGGAGATTGTTGTAATTGTAGTATAATTTGCCAGAGATATTAAAATGTGACAGCACAGAAGCCTAAGTAAGCAAATTACACCCATCCCACTTGTGTGCCTTCCTGGCTGGCTATTGGGGGAAAAAAATGCTAGACCAAACAGATCTGTCCTTATTTGGCTCCTCTTCCTTTTTAACGCCAGTATTAATGTAGCCATAATGTATTGATGAGCTGAAGTTAATTATCAGGTCATTTATACTGCAATTTATTTCTTCATATTTTTAAGATTGCCTAGTTAACAAGCATACTTGAATGTATGCCCTATTAAACTGAAATGGTTACCAAACAGAAGCCTGTTAAGATTGTATTATTCATGGATTGCGTCCTGGTAGCTTTCATCAAAAGATCCTTTATGGCACACAAAAGCCCTCAGAAACAGAAAAAGTATCTACTTACAGGCTGCTTCTGTTTTGCCCTTTGATGTAAGTCCCTGTTTTATTTTTTTTCTTAAATTATCAACAGTAAATAACGTCTTGCTAAACAATTACAAAGAACATAATCAAATGGAGCACACCATTATGAGTTAACAAATACCATTTTATGTCACTGTGCTTTGCAAATGAATCTGAAATGTCATTTTGGTATCTTAGCTAATTAATAAGTGAAATATAATTACTTGGATTGAGAAGGAGGCAGTGCCACAGCTAATGACTGAGATGCTGATTCACTAGGCATCCTTTGGATTTTAGTGTCTGCAGTCAGAGCCACGCCTTGTTTATTTTAAAAAGGAAAGAGAATATAATCAAAAACAATAAAATGTTAACAACTAAATGCTTATTTATGTTATAAATTATATATTTAATCAATGTACCGTTTTTCATTTTGCAATACATAAAGGAACAATTATTACTTCTTCAAGCAATTATGTAGTCAGGGAAATCAAAGGAATTCTATGTGAAGTTTTTAACTGATAACAGACATATTCTATATTGGAATATTGCCCACTTCAATTATTATTCTATTTAATAGACTTTTTAATTTTGAATGCTTTTAAATCATTACAGTCTGTCTGTGTATACGGCAAATGCTGTATTTCAACTGCTTAGTTTTATTAGTACTCATTAAAAGTAATCAGGTTTTTAAATTTTAAAAAAGACCAGTTTCACAATAGTTTTTAAACAAGTTAAAACATTCATTTCATATTGCATAAATTAAATAGGAGCTTGAAAATTCAGTGACTGGAAGCAGACATTAAAAACTAAAATCAGATTAAAGAATTTTATGATTTGTAATGTACATAATACATGAATTTGAATAAGATTTTCTGAAGCTATATAAAAAGAGACAACATTCAAAAAAATTTAACGATGTAAATCTACTGGTAGTAAATAGACAAGTGAACGAATATATTCCTTGTTTAAAAGTTTGAAAAATATCTGGCATCCTGTTAATTGTCTTAATTTAAAGTATTCTATTTGTTTGTGTCAATGTCTAATAATGGATGAATTCTTCCATTAGGTTGCTGAGCAGCTAAAAAAGAATGCAGAGAAGATAGCAAGATGTTGAGTGGCTTAGAGGCTAAATCTTACGAATACTTTCAAAACTGGGTGTGTTTAACTTAAAAGAAGATAAGGTTGAGGGGAGACCCATAGCAATCTTCCAATATTTGTAAGAGCTGTCATAGGAAAACAACACAGGCTTTTTCTACCCTGACAGTAGGACAAAAACCAATAGATATTTGGTTTGAGTGTTTACAGAGAGAGATCGAAATTTAAGAAACTTCCTTGCTGTGAGAGCTATTAAGCAGTGGAACAGTATGTCTCCTGAATCATAAGTGCTCCACCACTGAAGTTTTTCAAATGAAGGCTGGGCAATCAATTAACCAGTGGAACAACCTGTTTCCAGAAGCGGTGAATGCGCCAACACTGGAAGTTTTTAAGAAGAAACTGGAAAGCCATTTGTCCGAAATGGTATAGGTTTCCTGCCTGAGCAGGGGGTTCAACTAAATGTCCTCCAAGGTCCCTTCCAACTTTATCATCATCATCATGGATCATCGCACAGTCAGCCAGATGTTCAGACTGGATTTGGCATTTTGTCTACCTATCGAGTCCTTACCCAGGACCTGGGATAGGTAGATGTGGATGTTTGATGGTATTACAGGTATCATCGCAGGATGGAAGCAGTTCCTAGTAAGGCTGCCTTTTGCAATTGACTAATAGCGAATTTGTCAATGCCAATGGTATTCAAGTGGTGCTTCAGTTGTTTTGGGATTGCACCCAAGGCGCCTATAACTATTGGTACTACCCTTGCTTGCTTTTGCCACAGTCTTTCTATTTCTATTTGTAGGTCTTTGTATTTTGTTATCTTCTCCATTTCTTTCTTGTCTATTCTGCTGTCTCCAGGCACTGCCACGTCCACTATCCAGACTTTTTGTCTTTCTTATCAACAATTGTTAAGTCTGGGGTGTTATGTTGCAGGTGCAATTATTATTATTATTATTTGCCTGGGAGGTTTGAGGAATGTTGCCCTGGGCAGAGAATTGAATTAAAAGACTCGCAATATACCTGCTTTAAACTATTAGGCACGGTAACAGAAGGTATCATAAATACTACCAAAAGCAATAAAGATCATTTATAAAATTCCCTCATAAAAGATGCACTCAAACTGTTTTCAAATCAATGTTTGTATCATTACGCTCCACCTTAATATACAATGACATCTTCCTTAAGATCCTGTTCTAGAATACCACCGATTTCCACCTAAACATAATTGTATTTGTCAATAAGCTTACTCACCGGGTCCAGGAGGATAGGGATGTGTTCCTGTTATCAAATAATCACTATCTTCTCCTAAACATTAAGAGATGTATTAAGTCATTTATAGAAGAGTAAAAACAATCATTTAATAATTACATACAACTCCCATCATGATTCCAAACTGCAACCATCATTTGAATTTGTACAGAATACTAAATGTGGAAAAATCACATTATGAATATGTGTATATGTATATAAATACATATCTGAATGTCTGAAAAGCTCAAGAGGATTTTCAACCAACACAACATATGTGCACACTTTAAACCCAAGAATATGCTAAGGCAGAAGCAGGATCACATCCCCTAAGGCAGGGGTAGGCAACCCAAAACACTCAAAGAGCCACTTGGACCCGTTTCCCACCAAAAACAAAACACTGGGAGCCGTAAAACCCTTTTGATATCTAAAATGAAGATAACACTGCATATATCCTTTTTTACCTTTATTATAGGTGTGTGTATGTGTATGTGTGTGTGTGTGTGTGTATGTGTATATATATACACACAGACACACACACACAGACACACACACACACATATACACATTAAAAATAAAAGTAAAAATATGACTCTTGGGAATATCCATACTATTAAAACAATGATCACCAAGAGAATGCTTTAAGAGAATAAAATTACATACACACAAGGGTAAAAAAAAGGATATATGCAGTGTTATCTTCATTTTAGATGTCAAAAGGGTCTCTCTCTCCCTCCCTCTCTATCTGCCCTTGGTCTGCCACTCCTCTTCCCCCACTCTCTCTCTCTCCCTCTCTCTCTCTTTCTCTCTCTCTCTTTCTCCCCCCCCTCCTATCTGCTGCTCACCTGGCAAGCTTCAAGCTGTTGTCCAACAACCTCCGGGTAGGCAACCTCGTCTCTTTTATGACTCATGGACTTCAACTCCCAGAATTCCTGAGTCAGCCTAGCTGGGCTAGCTAGCTCTCTCCTGCCCTTCCTGCTTCCTTCAGAGACGCAGCAAAGGGAGGAGCTCCGCCCAGAAAGCTTTTCAGCTTCTCGGAGAACACACACACACACACACACACACACACACACACACACACAGAGAGAGAGAGAGAGAGAGAGAGAGAGAGAGAGAGACAGAGACAGAGAGAGACAGAGAGAGAAGCAGGGAAGTGCAATTGCCTCTCTCTGTCTCTGTCTCTCTCTGCAAAGGCAGAGGAGGCTGGGAGCCACAGGGGAAGGCTCAAAGAGCCGCATGCGGCTCCGGAGCCGCAGGTTGCCGACCTGTGCCCTAAGGCTTCCATTCCCTGTGCCAAAAGCTTTTGAAAAGGGGATGGAGGTCTGCAGGGGCGCTTGCACTACACTTCAGGGCTCTATCGCTTTTGCAAAAGGTTTTGTTGAAGAGAATGGAGGCCTGAAGTAGCACAAGATTGGGCCCCCAAAGTCTCCCCTCCCCTTTGCAAAAACTTTTGGAATAGAAGACGAGAGCTGAAGAAGCGTGAGATCGCCCTCCTGCACGCCTCCATTCTCTGCTCCAAAAGCTTTTGCAAAGGGGATGGAGGCCTGTAGTAGCGCGAGATTGCACCCCCAAAGTGTTCCATCCCTTTTGCAAAAGCTTTTGGAATTGAGGACGGAGAGCTGAAAAAGAGCGATCTCCTGCCCCCGGTAGGCCTCCATTTTCTGCAGCAAAAGCTTTTGGCATGGAGAATGGAAGCCTTTGGGGACACAATCTTTGGCTCCTTCAGACTCACCAAGGCTACTTGGCACTCCAAAAGCAGATTGCCATTGCAGGAAAAGAAACTGTGGCAGAGAGGAGAAGCTCGCTTGATCATGGAGTTTTTTGCAAGGTGAGTCTCCACAGGCACTGGGCCTGTGGAGACCCAGCGGAGCAAAATGAGAGGGGGGAGCAATTCTGGGAATCCCAAGGGAGTATGAGGTATTTTAGTGCATTGCGGGAGGCCTTGGGTGGTCTGAAGCAGGCGGCCTGTTCCAGCAGTTTCCCCCTCCATGGTCTTCCTTAACCTGAGATACCTCATGTGCAGTTAACGACCTGCGCATTCGATTAATGAATGCATTGCGAAAGCAGGGAGGGATCACGTTCATTTAACACGATCCAATTAACGAATCCTCGGGTTACTAATGTAATTTACAGGCTCTATTACATTTGTAACTTGAGGATTACCTCTAAACAGAGTGTGAATTTGCTTCCATTTTAAACGAGAAGAAAAAGAGAAGGTTTAATGGATCAATTTTAAAAAACAAAAAGGAAATACTGATGAATTTGAATTCTAAAAAATTAAGCAATAAGATTAACTTTAAAAATAAAAATAAATTAAACAAAAGAAATGTTAATTGATGAAGTAATGACAAAATGTTAATATTTGACCATATCTAAGAATAAAGAAAAATAAAAAAGTAAGAAAAATAAAAATATAACAAATGGAACATATGCAAACAAAAACTATATATCTTGAGATAGTGTACTGAGCTACATAATGCAAAATACAAAGTTGTTAAACATATTCTGAACAATATCTGAGACTTTAACGAATGTTCTTATTTGAAATAATACTTCTTTCTTTTAACAAGGTGCATATAGACTTCAGCCTGTAGGATCTACTTTATTTTGACTAGAATTTCAAGAACATTGACTAACTCAGAAGAAAAATAATTGTTTGAGCAAGTGGAGATAAGTTAAGAATTCAAGAAGAATCTCTCTCTACCGACAAGAACTCATCCTTGCCACTTGTGATTAATAGTGGAATCAAACTCATGTTCTGAAAATAGAAATTAACTCTTCTCTCCAGTTTCATTAATTTATAATTAATTTAACTTGTATTTTAAAATATCTAATAATCTATTATTATGTTATGATTTATATCTCTGCCTTAAATCAAGTCAATGACAAGCCTTCAGGCAGTTACAACCCACCATTCTTTAGTCAGCAGGCAACTCTCTTTAAAAGTGGGAATCCTTTAAATCCAATAAAACAATCCTAAGCATCTTTGCTCAGAGATAGTTACTATCATCTGATAGTGACCATATGGTTACAAAAGGTGTTTCTCGAACAAGGGTTCAGGATTATTAAAGTCATATCTGTATCCATCACCTACACATGCACCCATGTAACTGTCACCTACCTGGATTTTGGAGATATTGCTTGTGTCCATAGGAATCTACTACACCATGAGAACCCTTCTCTCGAACACATTCTTTCAATATAGGCATATGTAGCACAGAACTATACTCTGTACGGAGTTTAACTGCCATCTTAACTTTGTGGCTGCACAAAAATAAACTTTATTACATCTTTATTTTTTTACATATGTTTTACTATAATAAAACTATATCATGGTAGAGTTTCATATATTCAGAGGTTCAGATATAAGTTTGATATATACATACTTATACCATGCACTGGTACACAGATTTTTTTCAAATACAACTTTCCTGTATTTTCTGAATTTGAATGAAATGCAAAAATCAATTCTGATTATTTAACATACAGTAACTTGAAGTTTATTTAACCGGATTAAGGGGAATCATTCTATTTTTCCATGGTATTCAGCACTTGACCGATTCAAGACTTCAGGATTCAAGTCACGAATAATGCCAGTGGTAGCAGCTATTGTGAGATAAGGAAAAGGAGGCATTGGAAAGATCATGTGGGCAGGAGGAGCTAGCTGCTACTATCCTTGGCTTCAAAAATAGCATATTCAAAGGGCCAGCCCACTTAGTCTTCAGACAGCTTTCCTTGCCTTACCTATCTGCTGGTTGCCTTAACTTCAAATATAGCATAAGGGAAGATGGGGGGGGGGAAGTATTGGATAGATGGGGGAGGCCAAGTCAGTTAGATATGCTGCATCTGAAGTCACTAGCAGTAGGGCAGGTAGAGAAAGGAAGGTACTCAGAAGATCAGTGTACAAACCACATGGAGGATGCAAGAGAGATACACACTAGTCTTCCCTATTCATTATATAAAAAAATCCCACATTTTGTTTCGGCTGAAACCTAGAACAACCAAAATGTTTTGAATTTGATTCTGCTGAACCACAACCTATATGGAAGCGTTTGGCAGAATTTTTAAAGCACAATGTGTTTATTCTGGGTTCAAAACAGAATCTATTTTTCATTTCATGCCTAGTTCTCTTTCTTACCTCCTTTCATCTAATGATACAGGTTTTGCATTGTCAGACACAAACATATCATGAGTCCTCTTTAAAGACCTGAATACAAGAGTGTGGACAGAGTGCTTCTGCACTTCCTGAAAAAGAAAAAAAAAAGCACATATTCTGTTAGAGAGAAGTTCCCTGAGGATGGGCTCCAGCACAAGTCTGAAAGCTCACAAGATGAAACCTCTGGTCCCAGTGACCCACCCAGATTGAATCCTGCAAAGAAAAAAGAGTTATCCATAACAATTTCAATAAAATGAAGAAGTGAAAAAAAATGAAAACAAAAGATTCACTTACTAGATAACCATAATTTCTCTTTATGTGCCAATGAGCAAAGAAAATGAGCATCTGATCTCACTGGGATTGGAAAAAGAAATCACATAAAAATTTCATTCTTTTCCTCCCTCTCTCAAAGCTCAACAGAATAGGAGAAACCTAACCTTCCGATCAGAAGGAACCACTACAGTAATCACTAAACAAAATAATCATAAGTTCTGCTTTTTTTTAGATTAAAATACAAAACACCAAAATATGGTCATGTGATCACCTTTTGCGATCTTCTGACAAGCAAAGTCAATGAAGAAGCCAGAATCACTTAACAATCATGTCACTAGCTTAACAACTTCAGTAATTCACTTAACAACTGTGGCAAGAAAGGTCGAAAAATGGGGCAAAATTCACTTAACAAATGTCTCAGTGAGCAACACAAATTTTGGGCTCAATTGTGGTTGTAAGTCGAGGACTACCTGTATATTGCGGCTATTGTTCTTGTTGTTACAGTACTACTACAGATGGATCAATGGCAAAATATGAGTGAGACGGTAGGTCACCTCTAGATTGGACTATTGCAATGCGCTCTACACGGGGCCGCTCCTGAAGGGTTTCTGGAAGAATACAGTGGTACGGGAAGTATGAGACCCCCTAAAAAACAGCACATGTTGCATCTCTGCTCCACAAGGTGTTTTGGTTGTCAGTTTGTTTCTTGGCCCAAGACACTGGTTTTGACCTATAAAGCCCTTCATGGTATCGGGCCATTTTGGATTTGCACATTATTTCACTTTCTGGCTGGTATCAATGGCATCGTACGCCTCATTTTATTAGTACTTTAACTTCCAAATATACTATGCTATTTTTACAAGGGTGAGCCAGAGCTTAATCAACAACAATTCTGTTTCTTGCTGAATTAGCCAATTCTGTTTGGATATTTTATTCTCTGTGTCATGCAAAACCTGAACACTGCAATAACCAAGTAAGCTACAGTTAACTGAAAAACAGTGTTGGACAAATTTCTTGAGCTCACATGACATTCTGACTCAAATTAATGGAGATCATCCTGGATGTGTCCCGTTGCTATGACCGGGGAGCATGATACTGGTTTTGCATACTTCTAAGCTGCTTTCTGTACTACTGACCATGGTATCTTTCTGGCTAGCTGTAAGAATTGAGAACAGAAAACATTCTTCTGAACAGCTGTTTCTAGTTGGTGATATTGGGAAGGAGGGATTGAATCCTCAGGCACTCTTCTTTAATGTCTACATGAAGTCCCTGAGAGAGGTGATAATAATAATTTATTGATAAGACTTTTTTTTCCATGCAGTTCTAAAAACCAACTTTTTTTTTTTAACTGAAGACTTCAGGAACTTAACTGGAACATTTCTACATGGAAAAGCATAGGCCTTTCAATTAGCAATGGCATCCATACTGTTTAACTCAGTTTTATCTTGATGGTGATATGGGCAGCATATGTTTAATAAATAAACAAGAAGACATTCACATGGAATTGTTAGTTTTGATTAGCTGTGTGAATTAGTTGTGTTGGTTTTGATTTAGTTATGTGAACTAGTCCAATTCATCTTACTCAATAAGCCACTGTTAAACATACCATAGTTTAAAATGAATTGCAAACTAGATCAAAGAAATTATGTTTGGTGTATACATTCCAGCAGAGAAAAGCAGCAGCTAGGTAATCACCCAATAAACTATCTCCATTCAGATTCTTAATGCTATTCCTGAAGCCAATTATTGAGCAAACAGTACTTTATTATTTTAAATGACTTACTGAATGTTTCAAACTTTAAAAATAACAAGTAAAGGCAATCTTTATATCTGAAAAGTGTTATTTTATATATCCATGCAGCTGGCTAAGGAATTCTGAAGGCACAGATCACAATGTGGAACATATGTTGGAGAAGTCTTCATCTTTCTATTTTTTAAAATTCTATTCTATTACTTGATTTCTTCTTTTCAATTAGTCTTTTTCACTTGGTTAAATTGCAATTGTTTTATGGATAAGGCATGCATGAATTAAAAATTACTAACTAAAAATTGCAATTGTTTCACACCTGAGGCATGTGAAAATTTAGGATTATTTTTTTTACTAATTATATTGGTTAGTTCTTCAATTCTGTTTTCTTTTTCCCTAGTTATTTTATTATTCTATTTTACTTTTGCTTTAAGCTCCCTTATTTTTCAGCAGTAAATAAATTTAGACAGATAGGCAGCAAATAAATTTAATAACAATTTAATAATAACAAACTAAATCTGCATGCACAACGCTGCACTAGCCCATGAGAGAAAAGCATGGACAATGCCCTTATTATAACTAACTCAAATACCATGAAAGCTCATATCAGATGTACAAAACCAGCCTCTCATACACTGGAATACTGCTATCATGTCGCCCCTGGTCCTTCTTTTCTCTAGACTAGCCATTCCCAAATCCTGCAACCGTTCTTCATATGTTTTAGTCTTTAATCATTCCAGTTGCACTAATCCCAAAGTCTCAGCATCTTTTTTGTAACGGGGTGACTAAAATTGAATGCAGTATTCCAGGTGTGGCCTTACTAAGCGGTACTAAGACTTCATGGGATTTTGATTCTACGCCTGTTTATACTGCCATTTACATTTTACATTTATACTTTTGATCCTCTCACGGCAGTATTCGCCTAAGGCGGCACCCTATTAGGCTCCTATACATAGCTGACCGTTTGGGGGAGGCGGGTGGTGGGCTAAGGTGTTGGGCGAACCCAGCCCCAGCAGCAAAGACCGAGGGCCTCTTCACTAATTCCCTTTCGAATCAGCTGGCCGCAGCAGCCCTGGGCATGTGCAAAGGGTCGGAAGAAAAGCGCTCTATTTTCTTACCTCCATCACGATGGCAGCTGGCCTCGGTGAAGCCACCCGTTCCGGCAACTTATGCCCCTCAACGGAACCGTACAGACCCTACACCACAACCAGGTCTGTTACCAACGGGCGCTTCCGGCAATGGTCACCGCCGCGACGGAAGTGACGTTTCGGCTCACATCTGGAGCATGCGCAAAAGCGCGTCATTCGCAGAGCAAATCGACTCCGGACGGCTTGGGATGGGGGGGGGGGAAGGGGAGGTAGATGCGAGGCTAGAGACAGAGGCTCAGGCAGGGGTCTTGGTGGCGGCAATGAGAGAGCTGCGGATGAGAGCGAGGTGGAAGAAATAACGGCGATAAATGTCCTATAACCTATAATTCAGGGGTAGGCATCCTTGGGTCTTTCGTGACTTGTGGACTTCAATACCCAGAATTCCTGAACCAGACACGCTAACTCAGGAATTCTGGGAGTTGAAGTCCACAAAATCATAAAAGAGCCAAGGTTGCCTACCTCTGAACTATATTAACAGTTGAAATGTGTACATTGCTTACAAACTGAGAAGGGTAGATCGCAATATCCACGTTCTGCTCTGTCTCTCCAGTTCTGGATTTGGTTCAAAAATCAAGATTTTGGAAAATTGTGAATCGAGAAATTCTAAATTTAAGTTTTCTGAAAACCAAAACAAATGGTTTGTAAAAGTTAAAACTAGTTTTGATGCTCTTAAAGAAATGGAAAACTTGGAAGAATAGTAAGTATACTATACTTACTATGTTATAGTAATGGTATAGTATAGTAATAAAGGATCTATCAAGTTCTTTTTTGCAGCCACTCCTCCAGCCTTTAAGCAGAAAAGTATGTTGGCGTGATTTGTGATATCCTAATGAGTTCTAATTTGCGTCGGTAACAAGATTTGCTAGTAGAGAATTCCCGAGATAGTTGATCCTTAAGGAAATTCTGGGTTATCATTGGGCCATGTTGCATCCAGGCATTGAGAAGTATTAAGAGAAATTATAGAATTTAAGTAGCTGCAAAATAAATGCTTACACCTGCTAAGGTCAACCAAAGCTAGGCTTTGGGTAAAAAATGCTGAAGTAACCTGTTGAAAAATGAAAAGCACTTGAGGCAGGATGGTTGCTAGATTTTTTTTTTTTTTTTGAAAGGCATATGAGGAAGGTTAATGGAGTGTGATTTTTTTTTTTAAAAAAAAAAAACAGTCTCCTATGTACTCCAGATTTTCAATAAATATCAAAAATATATTTTAGAGCGTTATGAAGTTTTAATAGGTTTTCAGAGTTGTATAAATCTTTGTACAACTTTCATCCTTTGGCTTCATTTTATATTTTGGGGCAAAAAGTGTCATTACAGATTCTGAACAGAAGAGAGTGTAGTTTAGCTTTGTTTCAAAACAAAGTACCATTAAGCAATTATATCAATGTCAAAAGATGGGGCTATTTTTTTCCCCACTCAAATGAAAAAATGCCAAAATCTAAACTGATGAAAGATTTAGGCTGGTTGGGGGTTGCGGTTCAATGCTTCTAGAGCAGGGGTCTTCAAACTTGGCCCTTTTATGACTTGGCGGGCGCCAACTCCCAGAATTACTTAGACAGGCGCACTGGCCGAGGAATTCTGGGAGTTGAAGTCCACAAGTCATTAAAGGGGTCAGGTTTGAAGACCCCTGTTTTAGAGGTGACTAGGTTTAAAGCAAGGCTATAGTCATCTATACTTTAAATCTCAAGATTTGTTGAATTTATCAGAGTTTGAGTTTAAAGCTGCTTATTTCCTAATAAATAAAGGAATATCATGCTTTTGTTGCTAAAATTATCATCTGCAAATATCTGGGCATTTATGTAAAGAAAAAATTGTAAGATAAAATGGGAAAAATGTGCAAAACTGCAAATGTATAAGGGTAGGGTTTGCACTACGATGCTATTGCGTGCATTTTAAAATAATCTCAATTTGTGGCATGCCAGTAACCAAAATGGGATGACATACAAAATTCTAAAGAAATTAGGTGGCCATCAAGTTTCAAAATATATCACATATCTAATAATTTTTGCTTAACAATGGATTTTAAGATTTTCTTTGGAATAATTTTCATTAAATATATTGATAGTAAATTTTTAATAGTTAAGTGACTAAGAGCTATTCTGATAATTCCAATCCATTTTTTAAAATCAGCCATTGATTTATGTTTGTGTGTGTGTGTTATAAATAAGCAATAGGAAAAAGAACTGTTCCTTTTTTCAAACAAGTTATATTTAAAAATGTACATTTGGATTAAGTGTACTATGTGCTGCTATATTTACTCAGATGGGGGAAATAAAAACTGGAAACTGCATTAGTCTTCAGAAATTGTTTTGATTGTTTCTTTTGCGATTACAATAGATAGGTTCTCATTTACAAGAAGTTATTGCTGCAACATTTTACTGTCCTCGGATGACAAATTGAGATATCAGAGATAGACTTTATGTTTGCTTTGCTGTTTTAAAAGTCAGAATAAACTTGCAACACCACTTGTGAAAAAACGCTTTTAAATAAATAACTACAGGGACACATTGCTTATATTTGGTCAAAAGTCTCTGTTCCCGGTGCATTGATATGAGAGTCACTAAGCGGTAGCCTTGACTCATCTGATAGGACAGGATATTTCACCACTGTTTGAATAAACCCAGTAAGGAAACAATGCAAGTCAGTATCTCTGTCCCCCACTGGCTAAATAAATAACTTGGTAAATGAATGAAAAACCAAGGATGAACAAAATGCCTACCAACATCTTTACCTCCACTTCTGTTTATATCGAAAACACTGTTCTCCATCCAACGTTAGCAATGCAGCTTATTTATATACATCATTCTCATAAAAAGCTCAGGCAAGACAATATGCTATAGGCTTAGTCATAATAATTCAGAGAAACCATAATTGTCCTGTGTAATCCGTTTGTCTAATATGAACTGCAGTAACAAATAGACATCTCTCTATTGCTGTTGCACTTCCAGTTAGGCAAACAGATTACACAGGACAATCATGGTGGCTTGTATTGTGTAACATTGGTCAACAGGATAATAAATATAGTCAAATAATTTCCCCTAAATGCTGCAAGACATTATTTGTGGTCTAGCTGGGAAGACTATTTTGTAATGTTAACACTGCTTTGGTGCACTGTGTACTAACTGAATAATTGTCTATTTGCTGATTTTATAGGTCATTGTTGGATGCTATATTCCACATTTTCCTATTATAACACTGGTATATCAATAGATCAAACTATCTGTACATCAACATATCAATGAAATATGTTCAGGAATGGCTAATACAAAAAACATCAAATGTGGCATTCCTATATTTCATATTATATATGTTCAAATCTTAGGGTGCTAATTAGGTAGCGCTCCAAAGACCTTATGACAAATTTATCAGACGTTAGTTAAGATGTTGCGCTAAGAAAAAAAAAAACTAAAAAAAACCCAAAACCTTACAGCTTAAATAAACATCAAACACATTCAAAAAAACAACAAAATTTTAAATACTTTAACTCCAATATATAAAAACAAAACAAAACAATAGTTCTAATCGTTACCTTAAGCATAAATTATTCAAAAGCTAGATAATACTTTTTAATCTCATATTTGTGCTGTATAAAATTCACCCATCTTTTCCACACCAAAAAATATTTCTCTTGCAATTGATCTTTCAAATAAGCCGAAATTTTTGCCATTTCAGATAAATAAGAAACTTATTAACCCTGTATTCAGCTCTGGGAAGAAGGGGGGAGGATGATGGGTGGGAGGGGTGGGTGGGAGAGGGGGATTATTTTATTGTAAAACTGCAAAAAATTTCAAAAAAACAAACAAAAAGATGTTGCGCTAAGAATGGGGAGGCTCAAGTTCTAGTCCTCCATCAATCACGTAGGTTCACTAATAGTCTTGGATCAAATCATATTTCTCAGCACAATCTGTTTCATGGAGATGTGGAAAATTAGGAGGAAAGAATGCTATACAGTACACACACACACACACACACACACACACACACACACACACACACATATATATACACACACACACATACATGTAGGTCTTTGGTTATTCGGGTTTTCTCCCGCCTCAAATTGGAAGTGTCTTGGCGACGTTTCGACAAAGTCCCATTCATCATCTTCAGGCTGGTGTTTTCGGCTTCGTGCTTCTAGGAACAATGTTATATATTGAGTTCCTTACTGTAAGGCAGACTATAACATAAGTAAATACCACTTCTTCACATATACTATTACTTTATGGAATTGGATCACAATTCCTTCATTGGACAGGATGCCATAGAAGGGATATTTTTAAAAAGAATACTGGTGGATGGTTTTCAGGTCTTTTACTTGCAGAATCTTCTTTTCATAATTTATGTATTTATATGGTCACCCATCTTAATAACTGAGCAGCTAACACTATAATAAATGTGCATGTATGATAAAATAATATATCCATCAAAAATTGTTCTCTCAAAGATCAAGCTACCACAGAAAACCTACAGCAGTATTTTGAGCAGTGGAATAAATTCAGTATCATATAATATGGCTATACCACTTCTTTTAGCTTCAGCTGGCCTAATAAAGATTATTGCCCTATAATATAGACTTGGGAACTTTTCTGAAAGTTTGACAAGCATCTGCAGAAAACTGAGTTAATATCAGAAAAAAATAATATACAGTGATGCCATAACATAAATCCAGACGTTATGTTCTTCCATCCTAAGTCCTGATGCAAACATGAGTTGTTGTTTTTGTCACTTTCTTTTTCCTGTAAGGGTTACCATTTTTTTGTACAGTTAACAAAAATGGTATCCATTATGTCAACAACTATGGGATTTGATTGTTTTAATTAGGACAAAATACAGTGTGAATTCCCAAACATAATTTTCCCTGATACAGAAACCCTGTTTTTTATGCAAGGAACACATTTACCATCCCATTCACAATTGTTTTTTTTTATGCAAGCCTTAAAGCTCAATTGTACAATAAGGTTTGTAACTTGACAAATTATGTTTTTACAAAGTGGTGCTGTGCTTCAGGTTGACGTTGTCATTTGACAGTACAAATTGTACTGTAAAGAAGAATCTCCAAACTACAACAGCTGAAGTTGCTATAAGTCAAAGATATAAACCAAATTCA